TAATTTTACAATAATGTAATTAGCCAGCTATCGGCCAGCCATCGCCGGTCACCAACTATGTTGCCCTCAACCTAAAAAAAATAGGAAATTTAGTGTGCTTGAAAAGACTCAAACCTTGACCCTCAAAGGAGGGTAGCCTCATTCACAAACCACTACACTAACCTTATTTTTGTGATATTTTGTCAGTTACGCAATATTTATATTAACAGTCAATGGTTTTTTTTTATAAAAAAATTTATTTCAACATCGATACGTGCAAAATTTGTACCAAATCCCCATGCTTAGCTCTAGAGTTATACAAAACATAATAGTGTAGATATCAATAATGTAAACAAAAACTGTAAATAAAAACAGAAATTGCAAACAAAAACAAAAACTAAAAATTAAAAAATTCATGCCAACATCTAGTAAGAAACAACCAAAACCAATAAAATCATATAATCAAATTAGAAACTGAAATGCAGCACCTAATAAGCCACATCCCAAAATACACCTACTAATAAGTGAGGACTAAAAGGCAAAACCATGATGAAAGTACTAGAAAAATCAACTTATAAAAACCAAAAAATAACTAGAAAATTGAAATAACAAATTGATCAAGAATATACATACCTCAACAACAGAAAAACTGAGCTTTGCATCAAAACATGAATATTGCAATAAAAGAAGAAAATCAAAAAATGCACTGCAGTTTGTAGAAAAACCAAAATTTCTCATATTTAAGTGGGATTTTAAAACAAAAACAATGTAAATATCAATGATATAAACAAAAACAAAAAAACTAAAAATACATCACCACCACGAAGAACTCCCATCCTTTCGATTACGGCAAAACCTAGTAGTTTTGCTTGAGTAGCATCACAACCTCAACTCCTCAGCATCCAATCCCTAGTTGTCCATCAACACACACACACACACCCACTCTCTTCACAAATAAGCAAACACTGTTCAAAAAAGTGCAAATGCTACAATGCGAACTCACACGATGCAAACTCCCTTCCCAGTCCAAATGAAACCCTAACACTCTGCACATCAACCACTGATCAAAAAGGAAACTAGAATGTAGAAATGGAAACTGCAATGCAGAAGTGGAAATTGCAATGCAGAAGCGGAAACTGCAATCCATAAATGGAAACTGCTGGACTGTTCTAGCCAAAATTGGCCATGAACTTCAGTTGTTTGGGTCGGGTGTTTTGGGTAGATGATGGAGAAGATGATGATGAGCAACTTTCGTGAAGGAATGATGGCGAGATAAGGTCATTACGGCGACGGCAAAGGAAAGTCGCCGTGAAATTGGGTTTAAATGTCAAAAAGGAAACTAGAATGTAGAAATGGAAACTGCAATGCAGAAGTGGAAATTGCAATGCAGAAGCGGAAACTGCAATCCATAAATGGAAACTGCTGGACTGTTCTAGCCAAAATTGGCCATGAACTTCAGTTGTTTGGGTCGGGTGTTTTGGGTAGATGATGGAGAAGATGATGATGAGCAACTTTCGTGAAGGAATGATGGCGAGATAAGGTCATTACGGCGACGGCAAAGGAAAGTCGCCGTGAAATTGGGTTTAAATGTAGAAATGGAAACTAGAATGTAGAAATGGAAACTGCAATGCAGAAGCGGAAATTGCAATGCAGAAGCGGAAATTGCAATCCATAAATGGAAACTGCTGGACTGTTCTAGCCAAAATTGGCCATGAACTTCAGTTGTTTGGGTCGGGTGTTTTGGGTAGATGATGGAGAAGATGATGATGAGCAACTTTCGTGAAGGAATGATGGCGAGATAAGGTCATTACGGCGACGGCAAAGGAAAGTCGCCGTGAAATTGGGTTTAAGGCAGGCAGTGACTACTGGATTGTTCCTGCCAAAATTGGCCACGAACTCCTGCTGTTGGAGTATGGCATTTTAGGAAGATGAAAGAGGAGGTGATGACGAGCAACTTTCGTGAAGGAACGAAGACAAGATAAGGTCGTTTCGCCGACGGAAAGAAGCCATGAAATTGGGTTTACGGCAGGCCACGACTGCTGGACAGTTCCAGCCAAAATTGGCCACGAAAGCCAGCTATTTGGGTTGAGTATTTTGGGAAAATGAAAGAGGTGGTGATGGCGAGCAACTTTCGTGAAGGAACGACAACAAAATAAGGTCATTACAGCGACAGAAAGTCGCCGTGAAATTGGGCATGTGGCTGCCCTGTTTTCTAGTAGAGAGAGAGAGAGCGGGAGGATGAAATCTGATTTTGGCAAGGCTTTTCAACAAAAAAGGGCAAAATTTTATTTTACTTTTCTAATTTAGATAGACCCAATGAATTTGGGCCTCTTCTTTGGCCAAATTCAAAACAAAATTTAATTCCTAGGTATTAAAACCCAAAAAGAAATAATCTATGTCTCAAATCCTAATTAGTAAAGATTGTTATGTCTAATACCTAATTTTTCTTTTTAATTAGTGTTTGAAGTCTAAAATCTTTTTCTTTGGATGTTACAATATTATATTCTTTTGGCTTTGTGTGTAATTGATGGGTAAGGTGATGCCTTTTTTTCATGCCATTTTTTCATTAAGAAAAGTATATAGCTTTGAGTACATCAAAAGTGTACGTCGATATAAGATCAAATAATATTTTTCTTATATTTATTATCCAATAGTTGATAAATATATTTTTCTTTTTGTCATGATTTTTCTTTGAATTTCCATAATTAGTACTACAATCCTTTTATATTTTAATTCCCTTAATACTTTCAAGAACCTTGTACATAAAAGTTCATTTTCAAAAAATTAAATTTTAAGTAAAACAAAATTTAGCAATTTCTTTCCAATTAAAATTGACATAGTTTTTAAGTACAAGGAAAGACATACTATTTTTTTGAGAAAAGTGTGGGGCATGTTCATTTTTTGGGGAGACTAAGGCTCCATTTGGCATTGTTTTCTTTTTTTGGCCAAAAACTTGCTTTACTTTAAAGTTAAGCAGTATAAGATGTTTAGTAAAAATAAAATATTCCAATTATTTTAAAAGTAGTGGCCTTTTGACAACAGCTATTAAAAGCAGGCTCTGAGTTACTTTTCAAATCTGCTTAAAAAAACATAGATTAGCCTTTAATGAATTATTTTAATTCCCAAAATACTATCATTAATTTTTAAAAATGACATGCACCTCCACATCCACATCCAACTTTGCCACCACCCTCCACCACCACCACCACCACCACGCCGCCATCCTTGCCACCCCTCCTCCTCCTCCTCCTCCTCAACCTCTACCATCTCCACCACCTCCACCACATTCACCTCCATCTCTTTCACCACCACCACTACCACCACATGATTAACGCATAACACATTCAACATCATGTCTATTTTAGTCATTATTCACAGTTACAACAATTTTATATTAAAATTTACCAAACAGTTTTGACACTACTTTTTGTAGTAACAACACTTTAAAAATAGTGTTTACCGAACATAAAGTTGCTTTACTTTACAGCTAATTATTTTCAAAGCACAGCAGAAACAACTTTTAATAAGTGACAACGATCTCAAACTGGCCCTAAGTTGAATTTAAAAAATTTATAGGTTGTAGGCGTGCACACACATATATTATTGGTCGAAAATCTTTAAAGCCCAATTTGAACATCCAATGTTTGAGTGATTAATTAACTTCCTTAATTCATCATTGCTACTGTTTGTACCATACCTGACCCTCCACTCATACAACGACACGTGGATCTCATAAACTCGCCCAAGCACCCAAGGCCTCGGACAATCGGCATAGGCTACTGATGATATTGTCTCAAAGCAGCAAAAGATCATTACAAGCCCAACACAGCCTACAATCGGTATCTCCTACCGATTTTGCAGAATCAACCTCGAAGTGCCCGCCCAAAATATCTAAAGACTCGTGTCGACCTCAGAAGGCCCTCCCACGAGTCCCACATCGAAAATGAGCACTAAGAGCATACTAAATGTCCTCTATAAATAGGCCCCTTCCACTACAATACAGGGGGGTAAGACTTTTCAGCTTGACTTTTAGTTTACCGAACATAAAGTTGCTTTACTTTACAGCTAATTATTTTCAAAGCACAGCAGAAACAACTTTTAATAAGTGACAACGATCTCAAACTGGCCCTAAGTTGAATTTAAAAAATTTATAGGTTGTAGGCGTGCACACACATATATTATTGGTCGAAAATCTTTAAAGCCCAATTTGAACATCCAATGTTTGAGTGATTAATTAACTTCCTTAATTCATCATTGCTACAATCAATTAACTTCTTTAATTGAATCAATCATCTTCGGTATGTTTGAATGAGAAAATTTAAAAGCACTAAGAAATTCATAAAGGATGAAATTTTAAATTGTGAAAATTAATGTTGTAGAATTTGTAACGTTCATTGTTGACTATAATGGAGTTAAACACGTAATTTAATGTTTTGACTAAAAAAATAAAACATGTAATTTAACGTTTGTCGTCTTGTGATAGTGGTGGTGGTGCCATCATATGTGATATTTGTGGCGGGATTGCTGGAGCCTGGTGGTAGGGGAATGGCCACGTACGGGTGTGGGTGCCCATACATAAAATAATTGTCCAAAATATATATATATATATATATATATATATGCATCTGATCACCTTCATCTCCATGGTACGCACGTTGTCTGCCCAAACTTGCCCGATTCCCCTAAAGCTCCAGGCTTAACGTCAAAAGTCACACAGGTTTGTGGTTCCCCTTCCAAAAGAGTTCTTAATTAATTTCTATTTAAAGATATGGAACGAAGGAAATTCTATTGTTGACAATTAAATAATATTTGAAGTGTAACATATGTATTTGAATTTAATCATTGTGCTTGTGAACACAAAGTGATGAATGGTTGATGATGATGAGATCTGCCTATTATTCAATTCGATACGCACATATCTACTGCCCATTAGTCAATTCGATATGGACTAACACAAGTTAACAAATTACCGGCATTTTTCTCCCTCCATCAGTTATATTAAACCCTTGACTTTGCTTCCAATGGCAGAGCTAAACTCATTCAAAGTGGTTGAGGTTTGCAAGGTTGCTCCACCACCAAGCTCATCAGCTTGCTCAGCCACATCACCACCTGAGGCCCTTCCTCTAACCGTGTTTGATTTGCTCTGGCTCAGATTTGCACCCGTCCAACGCCTTTTCTTCTATCAAATCTCTTCTAATTCCTTTGACACCACCACACTCGTTTCAAAACTCAAAGCCTCGCTCTCTGTCGCCCTCCAACAATTCCTACCACTAGCAGGGAACCTCACATGGCCCCAAGACTCCCCCAAGCCCATTCTCAGTTATGTCCAAGGCGACGCCGTTTCGCTCACCATATCCAAATCCCAGTCTGCTGATCATTTCGACCATATTTCAAGCAACAACCTTGATGTTGAAGCCAAAGAATACCATCCTCTTATACCCCAGTTGGCTTTCTCGCAGGAAAAAGCCGCAGCCATGGCTTTGCAAGTCACTGTATTTCCTAACCGCGGATTCTCTATTGGCATTGCAACTCACCATGCAATCCTAGACGGCAAGACCTCAACCATGTTTATGAAATCATGGGCTCACATTTGCAAACATGTTGATGATGATCCATCCAGTTTAGTGTTACCGGATCAGCTGAAACCATTTTTTGACAGAAGGGTCATCCGAGACCCAGCCAGGCTAGAGGCGATTTACTCCGACGAATTTCTAAGTATGGACGGACGTTCCAACAATAGAAGCTTGATGCCTTCTAAATTTAGAGCTCCAGCTCTAGATTCGATTCGAGGCACCTTTGTGTTCACACGCCCAAAGATCGAAGCACTGAGGCTTTTGGTGAAAGAGAAGAACCAACAACATGAATATCAATCGGTTCAAAAATATTTGTCCACGTTTTGCATAACATGTGCCTACACCTGGGTTTGCTTAGTGAAGGCAGAAGAAATACAAGGTGAAAAAGCAATTATGGGGTTTACCGTGGACTGCAGGTCTCGCTTAGATCCTCCTATCTCTTCAAATTACTTTGGGAACTGCTTAGTGATTCGTTTGGTGGTTGCAGAAACAAAAGCGCTTTTAGGTGAAGATGGGTTGACCGTGGCAGTCAACGCAATTTGTGAGGCTGTGAAAAGCTTGGACGATGGCGTTTTGAGTGGGGCAGAGAATTGGATCAAGCCTTTGTACTCTGTGGGTGGTGAAGAGAAAGTGCTTACAGTTGCTGGCTCACCCCGCTTTGAGGTTTATGAAACTGATTTTGGATGGGGAAGGCCAAACAAGGTTGAGATCGTTTCCATTGAAGGCACAGGAGCCATGTCAATGTCTGAATCTAAGGACGGTGCTGGTGGCGTGGATGTTGGCTTGGTTGTGGGAAAAAATTGCATGCAAGTTTTTGCTACTCTGTTTGCTGAAGGTCTTGCCAACCTTTGAAAGCTAAATTGTTGAACACTGTTTCCTCATTTCCACACTATCCAATATATATTTTTTCTTATCACATATCACAGTGATTGTGGCCCTCCTCCCTTCCCCCCTGTTTTCTTTCCTCCCAATCTAACCAAAAAAAATTAGCGGCAGCATGTCATGATGACACACTTCAAGATCCTATGTGTTGATCTCAAATCAATTGGCAATGAGGGGAGTAACTCAATTCCTTATAAACCCAGGCTTGGTCCCTTAACTTTTCAATGTGGGACAAATACTCTCAACACGCCCCCGCACATGTAGCGAACTTTCAAGCCTAACACGTGGATAACACATATTGGGTGACGTGGGAGCACGTGTGGCCGTTGGGCCCAACATGTGAAGCCTTGCTCTGATACCATGAAGAAAGTTGAGGTTCCACCCCAAAACCAATTGGCAATGGGGGGAGTAGCCCAATTCCTTATAAACCTAGGCTTGGTCCCTTAACTTTTCAATGTGGGACAAATACTCTCAACACATATTGTGCCCATTAATAATTTAGAATTACAATATAGCATTAAATGCATTCTATTTTTATTTGATTTCATATGGGTATAATTGGAAAATTAAACAAACTTGGTTTTACATTCCTACACAAACCAAACATGTAAAAGGAAATAAAGTGGTATTTCTTGGTTACTTTCCCAGGATTATCAAACATGGGAAAGGAATCTCCATTTCTCATCCCTTATGAAATGACATGGGAAGTGATTTTCCCCCAAATCCGTTCCGTGAACTAAACGGGGTCATACTGCATAATAGAAGTTCGAAAAAAACGCGTGATGATTGGAACATGCATATGTAAGTTCCCGAGTGATGATTGGAACAAGCTCCTAATGATAAAGACTCGAAACAAGAATAGTTTAAACTTTCTTCTTTGTTTGGCTTGATATAAGACGAATGCACCAAACAAACCGACTAAATGCCGGCACAATAAATAGGGGCCACAATTACCTAATAATTAGGTACTATATAGATCTGAGAAACAAAAGTTCAACTTTGATGACAAGCGATATTAAGGGAGGGCGTAGGGATCTTGGGTGTAGAAATACATGCTCTTAACAACTTGAGTTACAAATTTGGAAAAAGAAAAAAAAAACAACTTGAGTTACAAGCCCTTTGCAATATTAATGACAATTTATGGTTTTAGTTATACTTTTGAATAAAGCAAAAGGCAGAGAATGGTAAAACATTCAAAATACCAGAAAATGTCATTGGTTAATGCAAACATTAAGAATTGAAATTATTACTGAAATAAGGATGTTGGCTTGGTTTTGGGAAAAAATTGCATGCAAGTTTTTGCTACTCTGTTTGCTGAAGGTCTTGCCAACCTTTGAAAGCTAAATTGTTGAACACTGTTTCCTCATTTCCACACTATCCAATATATATTTTTTCTTATCACATATCACAGTGATTCCCTTCCCTCCTGTTTTCTTTCCTCCCAATCTAACCAAAAAAAATTAAATAATGTATGTCATGATGACACGCTTCAAGATCCTATGTGTTGATCTCAAATCAAAACAATTTTCTGGGAAATTTTACATGTCAAATTAAACTACAGTTAGAAATTCATGCCATGCATATATATTAAACAGCAGAAATTGTCAAATATTTGACATATGCGTCTGACCATTATAATATTACTTGTGATCAACTTTGCCCTACTCCCTAAATTGTGGATGTGGTTACAATTTCTTCCAAACAAGTTGAACCCACTTTGAAATTTAAGAATTGGTGCTTGTAAAAGAAAGTGAATAATAATTGGATATGCATATACCTGCCTAATAGAAAACCCACTAGCTTAGTCCCAATGGAAGAAGATTAAAAAAGGACATCGACAAGCACTCACTTGGCCGGCAGCCATTAAAAGAAGAAAGAGTTAAGCTCGATAGGTTTAGGTCCCTCATCTTTTCTTTTCGTTTACAACTATTTGGTTTTGAATTGCTACAGAAGATTGAGTGGCACAGTAACAAGAACAATTACAACAATTTAAGTCTCATCTAAACTAAGAAATACAACATTCTCAGCAACACATACAAGGATTGAGCTTTCCTAGTTACAGAGGACATAACCAGGAATAACATGGAGGAAAAGCAACTATTGTGGTGAATCACCCACTTTCCTAACCGTAGATTTTCAATCGGAACATCCATGCACCATGCAGTCCTAGATGGAAAAAGTTCAACCCTGTTTTTTAAATCATGGGCTCACCTCTGTAAACATGGAGGATTTTTAGCATCTTCATCGAACCAGTTGCCGGATCAGCTAAAACCATTTTATGGAAAAAATGGTTATAAACGACAGAGCTGGGCTCGAGCCAATTTTCTTGAACCAATTTCTGAATTCGGACCGACCCAACAACAGAAGTTTAATGTGCACCATTTTCAGAGCTCCATTGCCACCAGACTTTGTTCGAGGCACTTTTGAATTTACAAGCACAAAGAAGCATTAAGGCACTTGGTGATGAAGAAGAAACAACAACAATATCAATCGCTTCATCTGTCAACGTTTTCTCTCACATGTGCCTATGCATGGGTTTGTTTAGCCAAGACAGAGGAAATAGAAGGTGACAAAATAGTTATGATCTTTAGCGTTGACTATGAGTCCCTCTTGGACCCTCCTCTACCTTTCAAACTATTTTGGGAACTGCCTAGCGAGCCGTGCAGTAGTTGCAGAGAGAAAAGGCCTATTAGGAGAAGATGGGTTGGTTTTGGCTGTAAATGCAATCACTGAAGTCATAAAAGGTTTGGATAAGGGGCTGTTGAATGGTGCAGAGAATTGGATTTCAACTTTGTACCGTGATATGCAAAGCACTTATGTTAGAGTGCTTACCATTCTTGGCTCAAATCGGTTTCAGCTTTATGATACTGATTTTGGATGGGGAAGACCAAAGAGAACAGAAGTCGCGTCTATAGATAAATCGGGGCCGATCTCTTTATTAGATAGCAAGAATGGTGGTGGAGGTGTTGAGATTGGGTTGGTTTTGAAAAAACAATATATGGATGCTTTTGCTGCTCTGCTTGCTGAAGGTCTTGAAGACCTGTGAAACCTTTGCAACAAGCATTTTAAATTCACTGTTCTCCACAAACATGAGCGTAGCTAAGTTGGTTAGAGCTGATGTATTCCTAACTCTGCAGCCGAGTTTGAATCACTTTCCCGTAATTTAGATTAAATTAAAGTAGTGTTTGGGCCCAAATTTGCCACGCCGAAAACAAAAGCCCACACCATCTCCTAGGCCGCTCGTATCAGACGACCTCAAGCCCATCAGCACGACCCAGCCCATTAAACGAGTGGACAGGCCAAGAACACCTGGCCCAAAACGTTAAGAGGCCTGGGAACAGTGGAAATCAGAAAGCAACTTGGGCCTTGGATGAACTAGAATGGGGCTCAAAACGCAAACTAAACCCAGCTGATCTTTTAAAAACAATCCCACGTGATCCCTGACTAAGAAAAGTCAACAAAATCGGCTGAAATCAAGATTGAACAGGAGCAGGTATGAAAGAAGGACATTTTCTGAAAAACTCTGTTGCCAGGAGACAAAGCCCCGTTTTGTTTATTCGGAAGATATCCTTCTGCACCAAAGAAGGCGCCATTTTCAAAGGATAAGCACACGCTGTTTCTATGAAAATGAGATAAAGCGGGAAACATGGAGTTGTTCAAAAAATGGGAACTTGCCATCGCAAGCTTCAGACTCTTGCAAAAGCAGTTGAGATGGAAGAACAGTATGGCATCCCATCAAAACGCAGGGAAATGATCACTTCAAGAAACTAATTGATAAGTGCTCGCATGC